AGCCCCCCCCCCCCTCCAAAATAAGCCCCCCCCCCTCTTCTAAAATAAGCCCCCTCTAGAGGTCGATCGAAAAAAATAAGCCCCGGGGTTTATTTAAGAGGATTTACGGTATTTATCTAGTATACATAGTAGTGTTATTCACGGTACAGTATTACCGCGGTATTTTTCGGTAATACCGCGGTATTTTTACCGAAATACTGATACCAATTTTAAAAAAATCGGTATTTTTCGGTATCGGTATTTTACCGAAAATACCGATACCGATACCGCAAAATCGCGTTTGAATAACACTAATACATAGGCTTGATTAGCTGGAATATTTAAAAGCTAACTAAATGCAAGAAAGATAAAAATCAGATTATATGTATTCATTATAACATTTTTAATATTTATCGCATTTTACTTCATTTTAATATTTTTGTCTTGTTCACGTACGTAAGTGAATATTAAAATATTGCAGAAAGACACGCAACTCTTAAAATGTGCGTTACTACATTTAACCTGTTAATTGTCTACGATTTTATCTTTAAATAAAACGACTTTAAAATTCACAGTAAAAATGAATTGTTTATGTATAATTATATGGAACGCTGATTTATACTATTATACCCCCCCCTTTGCAAAAGATGGGACGGAGTCGTTGTGTCTCGGCTATTATGAACACAGGCTGTATTTTAGTATACCGGAGTTTTATTTTCGATACAAGACCAATACCATTCTAATGTTCTAGACGAGCTGAGTCGACCGGTTGTTCAGGAGATGCATGTGGGCCGAGATATAGGTCCCCGAAAATTAAAAAACAATAGAGGGGAATTGAGCTTACTCCCCCATATAGTTTTTTGATTTTTGGGGGCCTATATCTCGGTCCGCAGGCATCTCCGAAAAAAAGTGTTACCATTCGACTCAGCTCGCCGAGACAAATCGATAGTATGGGTTGTCTTGTATCGAAACTAAAGCTCCGGTATACTAAACTAATTCGAACTATGATTTATTGATCAACATGAAGTGATTTATTGATTATACGAGATTGATATTTTTTGATCACCGAGCCCATTTTCATAATCCTGACTTGCGTGATGTTTAGGGATGCGATCTCTGTGGGTTCCAAACATTAATCTAAAAATTAACGCCGACGTCCACAATTCTCTTTCTTTCATGTTGTTTAGTTTTTTCGATTAACGTTTGGAACCATAGAGATCGCATCTCTAAACATCACGCATGTCAGGATTATAAAAAACGGGCTCGGTGATCAAGAAATACCACCCTCGGATAATCAATAACTCACATCCTGTTGATCTATAAATCACTCTCCCTGTCAATCTCAGTTGATCACATTTTCGATCCTCTTCTCGATTAAACATATCACACAATTGATCACAATAACGTTCACTATCATTTTTTCTATTGGTACATTAATATTTTTGAATAAATCAAAGAATTCACCCCGCCACCCACAATTCACCGCGCCTAAAAATTTTAGAGCCCTATTTTCCATTTATTTTACTTAGAGCAAAATAATTATCTCACTTACATTAGAGCCCAATTTTTCGACTCTAAATTTAGAGATATTATTATCATAGTTAAAATTTTAAATTAAATATTTCAGTTTAAAAATGACGAATCTAAAAAAAGAAATTTATCTTATCTTAGCTATAATTATATTTATTATTTTGTATTCTAATAAAAATAAATTTAATTTCATGTGGAATAAATTTCAAATTTTATCAAAGGAAAATGAAATTAATGAAATGCTTACACAGAAAACGGCCAAAGCAAAATCGATTCTAAATGCTTTTATCAAACAAAAACGAGGTCTTATCCTGATTAGAAATGAAAATTCATCAATTACTAATTATACAGCAACACTAGCAAACATACCAATTCAATTTAATGTATGTTAAATCTAGAGTAGCACTAGATCGAGGTTTTTTTTTAGCCGAGATCATGGTGTCGCGGCGAGAAGTTCGCGCGAATGGGTTCAAGCAATTTTATTTAAAACAAATCAAAAGCAAGCAAATAAATTTATCCGTAGCGCGAGATCACTTTTGGGAAACGGATACTTATGAACCCGACTCTTGGGGTGCCGACACTAGGAAACCGACTTTTGGAGACCCTACAATTGGGGACCAGTCCATTGGGAACCCAACATTTGGGAACGTAATAAATTTTAAAAAATTTTTAATATTGCCAAACCTAAGGTTTGGATCCCCCAGATCTCCCGTTATCGCTCCAAATCCCTGCTATCCCCTGTATCAATTCATAGCTATAGCCTTTTATCCTTCTTATTTCCTTTTTCACTCGACATCCGCCGGTAATCCCATGGTATTTTTTAAACCTCCTTGATCCCTCCAAATTACATGATAATCTCCGTAATCCTCCGCTAATTCGGTAAACCTACTTGATCCCTATAAATCCACTGATAAAACCCTTGTATCTCCGATATCACTCAAAATCATTACCCAATAAACTTAAATGTATCAAAAAATCGAGTAGGAGACGCTGACTTATACAGCGTTTGGCTTCAAGTTTAAACTGAAAAATGGCTAATACTTGATTAAAAATTTTTCCAAATTTTGCGTTCTTGCGTTTTGCGTTGATTTGTGGCATTTGGCGTGTTTTAAAATTTTGAAAAATTGGCAGTGATACAGCATGATCCCCACAAAGCTGTCGCGAAACGCGAAATTTCTTTAAATTAAAATTTTATTTTTAATTCCATTTTTATTTTTGTCTCCTTTATCTAAATCCATAATCTATACAATTTTCCCATACATTCTTTGTTTTCCTACACATACACTAATGTTTGGCCTTACACCTATAAAATTGGTTTTGTATTCTTCCTTAGGGCGCTCAGTTGTCATTATTGCTCTTATTCTTCCTATTCCTCTTATAGCTACATTCTTTAGCTAATTTGTGTGAATCACTTACCTTTTTTATATAAACTTTTGTGAAGTAAATAAAGTTTTGCTTGTATAACGACTTGTTGGTTTTACCCCAATTAGAGACCAGTGCGCGTTTCTACACCATAGGACCAGTTTACCCATATTAGAAACCAGTACGAGTTTCTACAGTCTTACCCAGATCGAACTTTACTTCCTACTTACTATTTTTACTCTTTTGTGAAACTTTTACTCCTGTTAATTTTTTGTTTGATTTATACTTTTTCCTGACTGATTTCTACATTTCGAAATTTACTCAACCATTTTACTTGAAAAATGTCTCTCCCGTTCAGAAACCAGATTAAAAGCCTCTACCCAGAAATTACAGGAATTTTGGAAGCCAATAAGACTTTTCCTGTCTCTCCTCGAAACCAGGGACAATCGGATCATATTTACTTTACCCAGATCCGAGCCTACCTCCGTGAATTGGATTTTACTCTTTCCGAGGCCTCTGATAACCTCACTGACCTTTCCACTACTCATGACCAATGGATGGGCCTTCGAGAAAAAATGACCGGTCCAGAACGTACCCACGATAATGACGTTTATGACGAATTTACGAAATCCTGCCCGTACTCCTCACTCATCGGAAAACTCAAAAAATACGTTCGATCCTTGACCGCCCAGAAAAATGAATTAACCGCCATTTTACCCGGCAATAATTCCAGTACCCCTCCTCCTACCGCTACTACTGCTTCTACCTCCTTGGCCCACCTACCCAGAATGGCCTTACCTCAATTTTCCGGGAACTGTGTTGAATTCCCATCATTTTGGTCTTCCTTCCAGGCTGCTGTCGGAGACTTACCGAATATTTCCGACTCAGTAAAACTCTCCTACCTCAAATCCTGCCTCCGTTCGGCTCCTTTAGCCGTTATTGAATCCTTCCCTCTGGTGGACCAATCTTACCCTCAGGCAGTCGACCTACTAAAACAGAAATACGAAAACCCCACAGAAATTTCCCGTTCATTATGCCAATCCCTCAAACAACTACCAACTGTCAGAAAAGGCGAATATTTTTGCCGTGATTTATCCTCCCTAGTTAATGAATTTGAAAGCCTAATCTGCCAATTTACTCAACAAGGAGAGAACACAGACAACATACATATTCAATTAGAAATCGAATCAAAACTACCCCCATTTGTATTAGAAGAAATCTACAAAGCCAAAGAAGAAAATCCTGCCTGGACAACAGAGCTATTAAAACAGAAATTGAAGGCTATATTAAAGAGAAAAGAAGATATTTCAGCATTGAACAACAGCCCTCAAAAACCGCAAGTTAAACTTTCCCCTCCTAATTTATCTCCACCTAGAAATGACTCTCCTCCCTTCCCGCAATCCTCATTAACCTTCCATACTCAAACAACCCGGCGATCGAATGCCGTAGAGCCCAAGCTTCCCTGCCTGTTTTGTAATGTATTTGGGCATTTTTCCCCTTCCTGTACCAAATATCCTGACCTATATTCCCGCCGAAATAAACTCAGAGAATTACGGCGTTGTTTTAGCTGTATGAAAGAAGGGCATAAATCTCACCAATGCCGAATGCCCATGAAATGCTCATCCTGTGGTGGCCCTCACCCTCGGGCCCTCTGCACTCACCTGCTATCCTCAAAACCTCAATTTACCTCGAAACCTCCCCAAAGGCCTACCCAATTTTATAATAATGCCACCGAAAATCCTCGGCCATTCCAATATCCTACGAAAATGCCAAATATTACCCAGCCAAAGCCATTTGATGCTCATTTTGCCCAATGCATGCCTGATACTAGACTTACCGAACCGCCTCAGCCTCCTTCCTCTCCGAACAATTCAAATGCCAACCATCAGACCTTTTGTTCCCAACTGATAGCAACCCCAGTTAAAACCCTGCCCAGAAAGCCTACCCTGAATAAATGGTACAACAAAGTCAAATCATGTCAACAGCCTATTTGTAACAACCGTAATGTAAAATGGAAACAACGCCCAACTACAACTACCCCAAAAGCCTTGCGGGAGGGTCTTACGAAGATGCCAGCAGCAAGAATGGAATTAAATCCTCAGACAATGAAGGTAAAAATAAAACCTATAATGACTAATCCTCCCTCTCTATTTACACGCACAACTTTTCCTAATTGGCATGGTGGTTCGTGTTTGGCTTATACCCTGGCCTATGTTCCCGTACAACGACAACCCATTCCGTTATCCCAGATAAACTTCATGGTGCGCCACCCACCAACACCTTTGAATATGCTCAACTTCAACCAACAACGATGCCCCTTGCTGCTGCCCCCACAACTACTCCCACTAAAAGCCTTGGCCGGAATGTCGCGAAACGCGAAATTTCTTTAAATTAAAATTTTATTTTTAATTCCATTTTTATTTTTGTCTCCTTTATCTAAATCCATAATCTATACAATTTTCCCATACATTCTTTGTTTTCCTACACATACACTAATGTTTGGCCTTACACCTATAAAATTGGTTTTGTATTCTTCCTTAGGGCGCTCAGTTGTCATTATTGCTCTTATTCTTCCTATTCCTCTTATAGCTACATTCTTTAGCTAATTTGTGTGAATCACTTACCTTTTTTATATAAACTTTTGTGAAGTAAATAAAGTTTTGCTTGTATAACGACTTGTTGGTTTTACCCCAATTAGAGACCAGTGCGCGTTTCTACACCATAGGACCAGTTTACCCATATTAGAAACCAGTACGAGTTTCTACAAAGCTTTGGTCAAATGATTTCAAAACTTTGTTCAAAACTTCTTCAAATACAATTTGAGATTTGATAGGAAATGGAAAGGAACTAAAATTATTTTAGCAAATATAAAATAATTTCTATTAATTGATCATTTGGTTTACTGATTTAGACGGATATAGAAAATTAAAAGGAATGCGAATATCAGGAACTTGGAGTGATAACAGTGGATTTTTGGAGATAATGGGTATATAGGAGATTTAGTGATATTAAGTGGAATTTGACGGGATATCGGTAGTAAGGAGGATATCAGTGGAATTGATGGATTAATGGGAGTCATAATGCGAATTGGTGGCATATTTCTTGCAAAAAAACCAGATTCTTACAAAAAGGCAGTTTTAGATGTTCCGAGGCCCGAGTTCAGCATAATCGAGATTGAGAGAACATCGAGGTCCTCGGCCTCGGCGATTGACCTCGTGATACTCTAGCTAAATCTTTTTCACTCTTTTAACGATATTAATGTAAAATTAAATTAAGGCAATTTGGCAAGAACAATTTAATAGTCTTAATACTGTTGGCTTACGAGGTGGTGATGAAATAAAATATTTTTTAAAATTCAAAAATTCTACATCCGGTAACTATGATTGCAATGTTGTTTCAATGGGTAAGATTTAACGATTTAAACATGATGCTCAATGCCTGGCAAAAAGTAATCAAACCCAGTTGTTGTTAGAATCTTGTATATACACGAAGACAAAAAGCTGCCTGAGTTGAAAAACAACCGAAGTCAGTTTTCATGGGACGCATAACTTTATATGGAACTCATAAATTCTCATGGGACGCATGAACTGGACAAGAGCCTTAAGTTCCTCTTAGCAGATTTGTCAGTACATGTATATAGTCATAGAGTTCGCAATGCTAAATCACCCCAAACCATAAAATCGTACCCTAAAATTATAATTGAATATTTTATTAATTTTATCACAAGGTGTTGGGCAACATATAGAAGCTGAATTGGAACTTAAAAAATATTATCCAAAGTGTAATTTTCTTGCATTAGATCCCGTTGCTGAAGTTAATGCAGATTTGGTTGAAAAACAACTTAACGGGACTTTTATAGAGAAAGTAATTACAGCTGAAGATAGCTATACTGCAAATAAAAAAGCAAATACCGTATTTATTCTAATAGAATGGCCGCCACTCTATTTTTCGATACCCCCAAAATGGGGCCATTCTATTGGAGGGGCCATTCTAATGGAGGTGGCCATTCTATTTTTCATAGGTAAAAATCAAAGATTGGATGAAGCTAATGACCAATCGAATATTTTTTACATCGAAATTTAATTGATTTTTCTTGTAAAATTCTATATTTTCGACTTTGTTTAGTGAATCTTCCTTAGCGTAACACTATAAGACATAAAAGTCTTTTGCCTGCTGGGCAAAAAGGCAATTTTTTATGTACTTCGATGCCACACAATCAAAATTTCCAGTACATTTGGCTCTTAAAAGTTCGCGGGATCTTGGAATTTGGACATAATTTACTGAAATCGGGAGAGATTTGGAGGGGATTGATGAATTTGGAAGATATCGAAGGTTTCAAAAATTCAAAAATTTTCGTATGGCTTCAAGGGATCGTGAAATTTCCAGAATTTTATCCCAAATCTCACCCAATTCATCATTATTCCTCAAAATCCTATGTGCCCCTGCAAGTCCCCTGATATAATGAATGTATCCAACTAAGGTTGTCGGATAGTTGGAAATCTTCGGATATCCGGATCAGACAACCTTATATCCAACTTCCTTATATAGTCCAAATTCATAAATATCTATTAATTCTCCTAATCCCTTGCGTCTTCATTAAATCGTTGTAATTTCTTGATATCCCTCCTAATCCTCCCAAATCCCCTAATATCCCTCTTAATCTCCCTTTTTTGACTCCAGATTTGCTCGAAAATATTATGATTATCTTCACTAAAGAGTAATATTTAATACATAATAATAAAATAAAAAAATGTACCAGGTATATACTTTGTAGAAAAGGGCCATTCTATTGGAGGGGCCATTCTAATGGAGGTGGCCACTCTATTTTTCATTACCCCCAAATAGGGGCCATTCTATTGGAGGGGCCATTCTAATGGAGGGGCCATTCTATTAGAATAAATACGGTATATGGAATACTCAAGGTCAGAATTTTTGAGACTTAATTAATTTAACACAACTTAGGGAAGGGCTGGATTGCGAAAAAAGTCTGTTCGAGGTTCTAAAATTTTCATTCGATTGGGGTTTTGACCCTATATGAAATGAAGTCCCAAATCAAATTTTTTCCATCTTCCTTAAAATGAGTAATTTTCTTTACATTTCTCTCTATTTTGATTTGTGCCGTAAGGATTAAGGATTAACTGAACTTGTGTGTTTATGACCGTGTGTGTCCGTTTCTCTATCTGTGTCCGTCCGTGTTTTGTCTGTCCGAGTTCGTCCGTTTTTTGTTTGTCCGAGTCCGTAGAATCGGTAAAGGCCCGGAACCGGTTTAGAACCGGTTCGGACGACTCGGAGAGAACACGGACGGACTCGGACGGACACAGACAGAGAAAACACGGACACACACGGTCATACACACGAACACGGACACACACGGTCACAAATCAAAAATAGAGAGAAATGTAAAGGAAATTACTCATTTTAAGGAAGATGGAAAAAATTTGATTTGGGACTTCATTTCATATAGAGCCGGGGTTTTTCTTGCAGCCATCATATTCAAATCTAACGTTTTCCCGTGGATTATCACATAGAAATTTTTATGATTTGGAGAGAATATGAAGGAATGTAAGGTGAAACGAGGTATTAGAAGGGATTTAGTGGATATTAGTGATTTGGGATGTCATATAGAGGGATTTGGGATTAAGGATGATATCAGTAAATTTGTACGATTACTGAAGATATCAAAGGATTTGAAAAGACTACCTTTCACTACCTCATTATCTCCTCATATCCCCTACATCTACTGCCAATACACACCTCCTGATATTTTTATTAATACCTCATGATCCATTGATGAGGTATTAATAAATACCTCTTATTCCTCAAAAGATACTTTTTTAAATTCGAGTTTTTTTTTAATTTTCATAAACAGGAAAAAGTCAATTCGACGGCAATTTCGATGAAATCTCAATTGGGTTTTTTGATTTCTTTGAAGATTATACTGACAAATCAGTAATTGATTTACTTTTACTTGATGTTGAAGGAACAGAATTTGCTATTTTTAAACTTCTTGCAGGTTTTTGATAATTTCAAAATCATGGAGAATTAACACAAACACACATGAAATTTATGTATCTATTTTTAAGAACAATACGAACAACTCCCAGTAACGCTTTGCCAAATGAACATAGAAGTCCATAATCGACCAGTTTATGGAAGCTTTTTCACACGTCATCGCTTCCTACGCAATTTCGATTGGTTCATGCGTCACGGCCGTTTTGCATTAATGAAAACAGACACGCTCAATGTATCAGATGATAATGCGACGGAAACTTATATATTTCATAGAATGTTTTTCGTTAATTTATTTGATACTGTTTGTTTAGAAAAATTTATATTTTAATTACTATATTTAAGAAATAATCATTCCATTATATTAATTTTTAGTTACTATCGCATTATACCCCCCCCCCCCCCAAGTCCGCAAATATTTGTCCGCACATTTTTCATTCCTTCTCCTTTTCTTTCTTCTCTCATAAAGATTAAAAAATGTTCAACGATTAAAAAAAATTTTCGGTTCTACTTCATTTTATGTTTATGAGTCCAATCAAAATTTATGAGTCCAATCGAACTTTATGAGTCCAATCAAAATTTATGAGTTAATTAATCGAACTTATGAGTCGAACTTATGAGTTAATTATATTAAAATTCTTCAAGAAATGATAATTAAAAATGGGTTTATGGTAAACTGCACTTTATCGGGCTATTTTACATTTAGACAATCTAGATGTCTTTCGAAAAAGCGAGGAAGCAACTGCGAGCATAGATAAGCTGAAGGTGTAAAAACTAAAGATGTCCAAAACTCTTGGTCTTGACTCAAGACTTTTCTTGGGTTTTTTCGGTCTTGGCTTTGATCTTGGGGTGTAGTCTTCACTTTGGCCTTCTAATATTCTAAAAATTTTCGCCTCCGGCGCTGATAAGTATACGAATCAACAAAGCCTTCTACATCAAAAATTGCTTGTTTAAAATCTTAAACTCTTATAACATCGTAATCAACAATTGATCAAACAATAAGCAATTTAACTAAAATTTAAAAAAAAACATTTAATTCACGTAAATAGAGTAGTAATGGCGATATCTTTGCGTTATGCAGCTTAATTTGTACAGCAGGGTTTCCTTTTAGTTTTGTCGACGAGCCAGGTTTGAAGAATTTATTTCGAGTTACCGCGCCACAATATAAGCCGAGGTTTACTATCAATATTTATTTCATAATATCAATTATCAATAAAATATATAAAGTGTTTGTTGAATTGGTTTGGAAACGTGTAGGACCTCCGTAAGCCCGCACTCGCATAACCAGACAATTCCATATCCTCAAATCCCATTCCTAACTAAAAGAAATGTAACGATATCAATATTCGATAAATTTTCCAGACAAATATGTTTGTTGCGCAAATGAAAATTTTTGACAATTATAAATAATAGAATAAAAGCTATCGTGTATTTCATCTTTAAAAGTGTTATTTCCTTAATAGGTAGGTGCTTAGTCAAATGCAAAAAAAATAGATAAAAATCAAATATTTATATTTTTTGTTTTATCTTTATCCTGATGGGAAACACGACCCTTGAAAATTATAGCATTTTTTATTCATCAAATTTAGT